CTCCGACAGTGCGATGCTCCCTCAGCACTGACCCTCCGACAGTGCCCACTCCCTCAGCGCTGACCCTCCGACAGCACGGCGCTCCCTCAGCGCTGACCCTCCGACAGTGCGGCACTCCCTCAGCACTGACCCTCCGACAGTGTTAAATGGGTTCTGTTTGATGACTGTCTCTAGCTCCTGGCAGCCTGATTTGTCGGGTGTATTTGACGTTGTCTCTCTTGTCAGGCGGATGTTACTGAGGTACAGGTGGAAATCTGCTCTGAGTCTCACCCCAGGGTGCCATCGCCCCATCATGTCGGAGTCCAACATGGCACTGACCATCGCCCAGGTACGCCCTGGTCTGGACAAACCATTAGCTAACTCGCACAAGGGTGACAGAGCGGGGTGGGTGCACTGGCTGGGAGTTCCTTTCTTCGGATCGGTTGTGGGGGGGTGCGGGGGCACTCGGTTTGCACCCCTTCGATAATCCTGCCCCTCCCCTTCCAGCAACACTCTGTTCCTCAGGGGTTGACTGTGGTTGCTGAGTTTAACTGTCCCACCCTGGGACACCTCCTCTATCAGCACCTCTCAGCCATTGGCACAATGGGTGGTTCCATCTGAGAATCCAGCCGCAGAGGAGAGGCCGTTCAGCCAATCGAGTGTTTGCTAGCTCTCTGCCGGTGGGCCTTACCCCAGAATATGTCCTTCTCACGTCTTCCCCTGCTAACTTAACTCCCTTTCGTGCCCCTTTCCTCCGCTAACAAAGCCAAGGGCTTGTAAACGGACTTTGTTAAAGCCCTTCTCAACTATTTTGATTTATTTATTTATTGTCATGTGCACCTTGTGACACAACAAGTGAGAAGTGTTATAGAGTGTCTCTGCTCTCCAGCACCATCTTAAAACGCTGAAAAATAAACCAAAACAGAGAATATATCGGGCAGGAAAATGGAAAAATAGAGTGTCCAACGTTACAGTTCCTTCTTGTTAAGTGCTCCATCATGGGCCTGGTGGCCAGGCAGGAGCCCTGTCACTGTCACACCGCTGGAATTAAAGTTGCCGTTCTTCAGCGCCATCTTGCCTCCACTGACGCCCTCGTCATCGTGAGTCCTTGATGGACCTTGCCAATGCAGGTGCCACCGATGCCAGAGGGTATAGCAGTGGCCCAGCCCATACTCTGCCACCCCCGCCTCCATGAGGCTTCAGGCCTACCTCCCCCCAAGCTCGCCTTGGTGAATCTGCGCTGGAAGCTGACGCATTAATACCCATCGTGGGTTGAGTCGATGGCTCAGGCATTGGCCATTTGGCCCATCTGCTCCGTGCCAGAGTTTATTCTCCACAGGAACCATCTCCCAGCCCCTCTTCATCTCCCTCTTGTGTTTAATCCACCCGCAGTATTCACCTTGATGCTCCAAATGGGAGTGACTCTTACATTTGTCCCACTCGATGGGAGAGAGAAGCTTTTCCGAAATTCCAAACTGGATTTGTAAGTGACTCCTGTCCTGATGATCTCAAACACCAGTCAGAGAATTGTAGAATCCCTACCGTGTGGAAACAGGCCGTTCGACCCAACAAGTCCACACCGGCCCTTGGAGCATCTCACCCAGACCCATCCCCCTACAACCCACCTAATCTACACATCCCTGAACACTACGGGGTAATTTAGCATGGCCAACCCACCCTAACCTGCACATCTTTGGACCGTGGGAGGAAACCCACGCAGACACGGGGAGAATGTGCAAACTCCACACAGACAGTCGCCCGAGGGTGGGATCGAACCCGGGTCCCTGGCATCGTGAGGCAGCAGTGCTAACCACTGAGCCACCGTGCCGCCCAAACACAGTCATTCACAGGATGAAGGCATGGTTCGGTCAGCACTTAATGCCCATCCCTAATTGCCCACAGTAAGACTATTCTCCATATCTAACCTAACATTAAAAAAAAACGCTTCATCAGTTTTGTTTCTGAGGGAAAACTGCCACAGCCTGTTCGATCAGACCTCCCGGTTCAGCTAAACGTGTTTTGAAACAGGCCCTGATTTTTACAACCAGCCCCTCTCTTTGTTCTATAGCGACCAGACCTTTCCATCTACTCCGTTTGGGAATTGCAGACAGGGCGGATTTAGTCTAATCTGTTTCGTACTGCTCCACAGAGATGAAGAGGCAGAGATCAGTACAAGAGGACATAGCACAGGAGAAAGAGAATGTTCCGGAAAAAAAGACAGAGGAAGACAATCCGGTATGTACTGTGCCCTCACCTTCCACCTACTTCAGAAACAAAGACGTGCACATTTTTTTAAAATCAACAACTATGGGCCTCTACCCCCTCAGTTACTACACTGAAGCTAACACAGCAGGTAGGATGTTCAACTACTGGGGCATCACAATTCAGCTGGGTAACAGCACATGCTCAAGCAGGGAGTCACCTGGTGGGGACAGGTCTGTCACTGTATAACACTGGGGTACAGTACAGGTGGGGACAGGTCTGTCACTGTATAACACTGGGGTACAGTACTGGTGGGGACAGGTCTATCGCTGTATAACACTGGGGTACAGTACCGGTGGGGACAGGTCTATCGCTGTATAACACTGGGGTACAGTGCCGGTGGGGACAGGTCTGTCACTGTGTAACACTGGGGTACAGTACCGGTGGGGGCAGGTCTGTCGCTGTATAACACTGGGGTACAGTACCGGTGGGGACAGGTCTATCGCTGTATAACACTGGGGTACAGTGCCGGTGGGGGACAGGTCTGTTGCTGTATAACACTGGGGTACAGTGCCGGTGGGGGCAGGTCTGTCACTGTATAACACTGGGGTACAGTGCCGGTGGGGGCAGGTCTGTCGCTATATAACACTGGGG